AGGAAGATTTTTTTTTAATAATAGCTAAATTTTAAAAGAAACTGCCATGTAGGCACATGAGAAGAGTTTGAAAAAGAAATAAACTCCTAGAGGATGGGACAAATGATGACAGCACAGCATAATTCTGTCAGAAAAGGCTGCTGTTGGAATTTAAATCCAAATTTCTCTATTGTTATTTCTATTTCTCTGAAAATCTCTTACCCTCAGTGGAATTTCTAAGTATCAATTTTTACTACTCTCCCTTTCCTGTTCAACTGAAAAAATATGCCTTTATCCACACATTATGCCAATCTTCAAAAACACTCAAAAGAGGCCGGGTGCAGTGGCTCACGTCTGTAATCTCTACGCTTTGGAAGGCCAAGGTGGGTAGACTGCTTGAGCCAGGAGTTCGAGACTGGCCTGGGCCCCACATCGGGACCCTGTCTCTTTGAGTTTATATACGCATAAACTCAAAAGGGCAGGCATATACTGTAGCTGAGTGAAGCGGGCAGCTATAAGGAAAAAAACGCCCAATGATTAACAGCAACAGGCCCTCTGTAAAAAAGAGGCAAATATGAGTGCTGGGGATTACAGCAAACTGGAAAAATCTGACACCAACAGAAACCTGAGACATTCAGATATCAAGCTTTCCAACTACCTTTGGAAGTAATGTTACTATATCTGCTTTAAAAGTAGCACACTGCAGGCCGCGCGCGGTGGCTCACGCCTGTTATCCCAGCACTTTGGGAGGCTGAGGCAGGTGGATCACGAGGTCAGGAGATCGAGACCATCCTGGCTAACATGGTGAAACCCTGTCTCTACCAAAAATACAAAAAATTAGGCGGGGCTTGCAGTGAGCCGAGATCACGCCACTGCAGTCCAGCCTGGGAGACAGAGCAAGACTCTGTCTCAAAAAAAAAAAAAGTAGTACACTACAAACGTACTTTGATCACTCATTGATGATTATCAGGATAATATAATTATCAGGATAACAGGATTAACAGACAACGTTTGCTAAAAATTATACATTGTTTTGTATTGTGTGTGTATATTAATAAATTGGGGAGTTCACTTTGATATCACCAAAGAAGTCTTCATCATGGGAAAACAGTAAAAGTAACTGAATAAAGGTAGCTCAAAACACTAGCTAAGGATTTTAAGCATTTTTTGGAAGGAAAGCAAAGAGATAGAACAGACCTTATTAAATATTTTACACTATCAAAAAGAAAACAAAGATGAAAAGATAAGTGTGATTAATCAAAGCATGGCTGAATACTGTAGGTTCCTGGTTGCCTTCCAAATAGGAAACAATACTACTACATAAAGCAAATGAGTGCCTTGCTACCATCAATTACAAAGCTAAGAATTCTTTAAAAAATAATTAACATTTTGAATAAATAGCACATAAACAAAAATATTTTCTATATATGATCACTATGGCAGGAACTCACATTACAAATAACTGGTTCTCATGCTTAGATATTTTCAGATTTACAAATAAAAACTACTAAAAGTTTGGTTCTTAAAGCACTTATAATTAAATAATTCCTAAACACAATAAATGCACACCACTTCCTGTGAAATATACAAAGGTGGTCATCTGCAGTACCCTGAATGGGCACTGAATCCCATGAACCGATCCTGGGGTAACCAAGCCTCTTACTTCAATCTAGGTTTCAAGAATTTGAAAGGCTCTGTAGTACATGGATCACCTTTAGGTTCCTTTCAACACTGTGATGCTATGATATTAGAAGTTGCTTATCCAGAGAACACACCAACACTGAGGTGAACACAAAAAACAGTAGTTACAGCTACTTGTCACATCCCTACCCTAAGAAACTGGGCAATAAAATTCAATCTGTGACCTATTATACCTCATCTGATGTAAATTACTAAGAGAACGTGCTTAATAGGCAAGATCCAGGGCAGTCTTAAATACTTATTGCTTTATTTTCCAGGCTAATCAATAACGTTGCTAGAGAATAAATACAACTTCCTCTCTCCAACTTGAGGCTAAAAAAAAAAAAACCAGAATAAATATGTGACCTGGTCCATTCCTGTGAAATGCTTTGTCAACATTCTCTTTGAAAAGCCATCAGAAACAGCTCCCAAAACTGCTGGTGCTTCTGTTCGTCTATGTAAGTGGGTCATTCTACTGTTACAAGTAAAACACAACTTTCTGACGCAACCAGAAAAACAATACCAAAACACTGTTAACATCACAGGAGACATGTCATAAATCTCTAAAAATACTGTCATGTGGGGAAACCACCTACACTGTGTATTTACTTATGTCAACATTATGCATGGTGTGGAATACTTTCACTTATCTATATATGAATATATTTGCATACATAAAAACATATTCAACAGGTTTTGCACACAATATTGCACAAAGTAAAATGTAATAAGCAGATTCTAGCTTACCATTCTTTTATTCATTTACCCAACATTTAGTGAGGGCCTACCATCACGCCAGCTATCAGGGACAAACTAGGGGGCAAAAACAGAAATCATCCCTTGTCCTCAGGAATCTCAAAATCAACTGGAAACACAAATCCAAATCTTGTAAAACTGTTAACTGAGAAACTACAAATTGAGAAACAAAACTGCAAATCTGATTGATAAATTAGCAGTGATTATTCACACTACTAGAATTTTTTTTCCAAATGATTCATCCAACTTTTTAAATTTTATTTTTACTGCACCTTACCGAGCTGGACTACGCCCCTAGGCAGTGCACCTAGAGTAGTGCATTCAACTTTTTAGTCAGTCATCCTCACTGTTGAAATACATACAGGGCTGCACTGCTTACCATTTTCATCACTACTGAAGTGGTCTGGGTGAGGCATCGCGTTCTCTCACCTGGTCTCTCAAAGACATCGTAATCCCCCAAACCTGTGAATATGTTACTTTACATACTCCTACAAGAATTTTGCGGGTGTGATTAAGAACTTCCATATGAAGATATTGTCCTGAATTATCTAGGTGGGCCCAATGTAATCACAAATGTCTTTATAAGAAAGACATAGGAGTGCTGGAGAGGGCAGAGGGTGTGACTGGAAGATGCTGTTTTGCTGGCTGTGAAGATGAAGGAAGAAGTCAAGAGCCAAGGAATTCCGGCAGGCTTCATAAGGTGGAAAAGCCAAGGAATAAATGTATGTTCCCCTAGTACCTCCAGAAAGAATACAACCCTACTGACACTTTGGTTTTAGCCTAGTGAGATTTACAGATTTACAGACCTAGTCTGATCTACAGACTAAAAGACAGTAAATTTGCATTGTTAGCAACCAAGAAAGTTGCTGAAATTTGTTACAGGAGCAATGGAAGACTAATACAATTTCCTAAGTAGTCTCTCTGCTTCCATTTTTGCTCTCCCTTTAGCCTCAAAAGGAGCAATCCAAATTATCTTTTTAAAATGTACGCCATATGAAGTCATCCTTCTGTTCAAAATCTTACAATGAAATCCAAAGTCCATGTAAGACCCTTCACCTCTCTGACATCATTTCCCACTTTCTCCTACTGTGAAGTTCAGCCACACTGCTTCCCTGCCGCTCCTCTATTCACCTTGCATGCTCCAGTCTTGGCACTCTTCCCTCTGCCTGAATCAGACCCCTACTCTTACTCCCAGACTCCTATCCTTGAGGTCCTTCCTTAAATGTTACCTTCTCTAAAAGACAACCTGGACATTCCATCCCAAATTGCAAGCCCCACCCCCTAACACTCCCTCATCACTTTCCTCCCCTTACCGTTTTTCCTTAGCATTTACCACCAAACCCAATACACAGCTTACTTCTGCTTACTGCCCGTTTCCAAGAAGGCCAAAATTTCTGCGTTGTTTGCTGCTGCATCCCTAGCAACTATGCCTGGCACATATTAGACACTTAATAAATATTTGTTGACTCAATCAATGTACCAGATGGAGACACTTAAAAACGTAAAGCTGTGATTTAAAAAGAAAGAAAAATATGACGCAGGAAAAAAGATAATCAAAACCGCTACGATTAAGAGATAACGATTCTTTTAAGCTTTTGCCACATTCGAACGCAGAATCTGGAAGGAAATTAAAACCACATGACTATATCAAAAATGAAAATATTCTGGAGAAGCAAAATAAGCCAGTAACCTATTTCTTAATTTAAAAAAACAAAAAACAAAAAACCGCAACGCAAAATGCCAGCATTTTCTCGGCATTTCTTCCCTAAAACATTCACACCTGCCAAACAGGTCTTGGCAAATAAACATTCGCTTTTCTGAAAAACTGTGGTTCTGATGTTAGCAATTTTGGGACGAAATCCGTATGCAGAAAAAGCGCCAAGCCGCCTGCAATCCACCCAGTCCATGACCCTTTTTTAGGACAAAACCCCTGGGAGCTGGGGCCTGCGGGAGCTTCACGCAGTCTGGAGCTGAAGGGACACAGCGAGCGCTCCCACCCGCGACGCCCCTACTCCGTGAAGGCCTCCCTGGGGGGCTGGCGAAGCGTCGGGGGGTCTCTCAGCGCAGCGCTGGGGCCCAGATTTCTGCGCCCGTCGTGCGGGGGCCAGAGAGGGACAGCGCAGCGCTGGGGCCCAGATTTCTGAGCCCGTCGTGCGGGGGCCAGAGAGCGACAGCGCAGCGCGGAGACGCAGAGACTACGCGGGAAGAGAGCCCGCGGTGCGTGAAATAAACCTGTTCGCTCCTCTGACCTCAAAGACAGCGGCTCACCGCGGTACGCGGTCACCGGCTTTGGAACCTGGACCCCAACTTGCCTCTTCTCGCGGCGGGACAGTCACCGACGCTCGCTTACCGAGGCCTCGCCGCCAACTCTCGCACCCCGGCCGCTGAGGCTGGAATCCTGCGGGGCAGGGGGCGGGACAATAGAGGCGGCTGCGCCCCACTCGGCAGAACTCCGCCCACCAGGCGCGATGCTGGAACTACATGTCCCATGAGGCTCTGGGAGGCCGCAGTTTTCCACCGGAAAGAGGTTGGCTGAGGTGGGGGAGGAGCCCAAAAGGGATTGTGGGAGTACAGCTCTTTCCTTTCCGTCTGGCGGCAGCCATCAGGTAGGCTGCGTTGGAGATCTTTGCTCTTCCATCCGCCGTTGATCGTCTTCCTCTTCAACCATCCAGGCCTGGGGACCCTGCGTCCTCCGAGATAGGTCTCCCTCCTGTGCGGCCAGAGTTTGGTCAGGATGCGGGACAGCGAGGGGGTGGAGAGGCGGCCCCCGGGGCGGGTTGAGCGAAGATGTGATGGCGGCGCGAATTTGAGCTGGGCCCGGATCCTGGAGGAGGCGTGGGGCTGACGAATGGGGCGCCCGGGACAAGGCAGCCTAAAGAGAGACTGCTGGTTGGGTGGGGTAGATGCATTTTCCTCGAGAGTTAATCCTCGGCGGCCGCAGCAGTACGTTGCCCTGTTGTGTCAGCGGCATCTCCTTGCAGGTTCCCCTTGGGGACGCCGCCTGCCGCAGCCACCCGCCCCCTTGGTGCTCACCTCTGGCTCTGTTCATTCGCCCCACCAAAACGTGCCGAGCACCGCGCCGGGGTTGCGGAGGTGACTGAACGCGGCTCCGTGGGCGCATTGGTGGGGGTTGGGCTAGCTGTCCCCGGCAGTTGGTGCAGAGCCATTTTCATTCCCGGCGGTTTCCTTGTGCTTGTTGGGTAACTAAGATGGACGAGCAGGGTCGTCTTATTGTACTTCAAGCGGATGATATTTAATACCCAGTTTGATTTCACAGGTAAGCCAAGATGGGTGCATACAAGTACATTCAGGAGCTATGGAGAAAGAAGCAGTCTGATGTCATGCGCTTTCTTCTGAGGGTCCGCTGCTGGCAGTACCGCCAGCTCTCTGCTCTCCACAGGGCTCCCCGCCCCACCCGGCCTGATAAAGCGCGCCGACTGGGCTACAAGGCCAAGCAAGGTACGTGATCGACTGCCTGGATGCTAGGATAAAATTATATTCCAGGAAAGTTGGAAACCAGCTGGTAGGAAAACACTGCTGCCCCAGTGTCTTTCTTCTCATAGGGCTTTGGCAGAATAGAGCTAGCAACACTGGTCAGTTACTTTATGCACTTGTTGTCTAAAGTGGCAAGTGCGTCAAAGGTTGCAAATCTGGATGAGTTCAGACTAAAGCAAACAGTATGTCTCCCTGTGTGAGTAACCTAAAGTACATTGACAGACTGGTATGTGTTTTATTTTTTTCCATTATATAGCATTAACTTACTGTTGAAGTATTTTTGGTGGAGTGTTAATGACAAGCCATTGAGTCTTAAGCCCGATGGGCTTCCTATAAAATCACTAATTTTGTGTGTGTTTGTGTGTAGGTTACGTTATATATAGGATTCGTGTTCGCCGTGGTGGCCGAAAACGCCCAGTTCCTAAGGGTGCAACTTATGGCAAGCCTGTCCATCATGGTGTTAACCAGCTAAAGTTTGCTCGGAGCCTTCAGTCCGTTGCAGAGGTAAATGGTTTTGAGTAGCAGTTATATTGAATACTGCCTGGGGACGGTGGGAGAGACATTTAAGCAACTCTTCTGATTGTACTTAACGTGAACTGTCTCGTGTATAAAATAGGGTTTGTGATTTTTACTAATCTTGGTAAAGAGTAATTGCTAGAAAGTAAGTCGTTATTACAAATGCGTGTGTTTATACTGGAAGTACTTGTGGAACCTAAGCTTTAAAGGCAAGAATATGCAGAAGAGACCACATGTGGCCTGCACAGTCTAAAATATATACTAGATATTTTTAAAGCTAAACGTTGCTGAGCTCTCAGTTGTATTGGAAAAAGATAAGGTCCTCAAACCCTAAATTTTGTTACCCAGGTATTAGTAAGGACTGGAGTATTAAGAGGGAATGATGTGTTTCAGTCTATATGTGTGTTGTTTTAGCAAGTTTACTTTATCTCGTTATACTTGTGATAGTCTAGGGAGAAATGCTTCGTAAATACTTGAGTAGTAAAAGACTCCTGTCTGGTGGTGAACTAGAGTTGAAAATTAAAATTCTTTCTGACTCGCTGCTATGGGCAATGTGGGAGACTGACCTTGGCCTTTTTTCCTATTCTAGGAGCGAGCTGGACGCCACTGTGGGGCTCTGAGAGTCCTGAATTCTTACTGGGTTGGAGAAGATTCCACATACAAATTTTTTGAGGTTATCCTCATTGATCCATTCCATAAAGCTATCAGAAGAAATCCTGACACCCAATGGATCACCAAACCAGTCCACAAGCACAGGGAGATGCGTGGGCTGACATCTGCAGGCCGAAAGAGCCGTGGCCTTGGAAAGGGCCATAAGTTCCACCACACTATTGGTGGTTCTCGCCGGGCAGCTTGGAGAAGGCGCAATACTCTCCAGCTCCACCGTTACCGCTAATATAAGTAAAGTTTGTAAAATTCATACCTAATAAACAATTTAGGACAGTCATGTCTGCTTACAGGTGTTATTTGTCTGTTAAAACTAGTCTGCAGATTGTTTCTTGAATGCTTTGTCAAATTAAGAAAGTTAAAGTGCAATAATGTTTGAACACAATAAGTGGTGGTATATCTTGTTTCTAATAAGATAAACTTTTTTGTCTTTATCTTATTAGGGAGTTGTATGTCAGTGTATAAAACATACTGTGGTATAATAGGTTTAAAATAAATTCTTTAAGAGAACTGAAACTAGCCCTGTAGATTCGTCTGGTGCATGTGATGAAACCTGCAGCTTTGTTGGTGATGGCAATGCTGTGCTGGCTTACTTTCAAGTGGCTGGGTTGTTTTAGTTTGACAGGTACAGACTTTTTTAACTGGGCTTTAGAAAATCTGGGTTAGCCTGAAGAAAATTGCTTCTGCCTTCATAGTACCATTTTAAATTCACATAAAGGTGAAAGCTCCCTAGTTCAGTGCTGTGGCTTCATGTAATTCAATGATTCGTGGTAGTGGTATTAATACTGGTGTGTTTTGAAATTGAATGTGAGATAAAATTAGCCTTAAGATTGGTAAGCTAGCAATGAATGCTAGGGTGGGAAGCTGGTAAGCCAGTGGCCATTAGATAAATACCTTTCAAGTGTGAGAAGTCAATCCTAAAATATTTAACCGTAATGCTAATTGTGATCATTATGAATCCCTTCAGTCACATTACAGGGGAAAGTAGTTGGCTATAAGTACCTCATTCTTAGTCCAGTCAGTCTTAAAAACATCTTGGGTTACCCATTCTGTGCACTCCCATAGGTTACAGAAAAGGTCATAAGCGCATGGTTTGCAACCGTATGTGTTTTGCGCAGTTAACTTCTCTTGTTCCTGGCCAAACTACCCTAAAAATCCTTACCATTCCACAAAGTTGGGCCATCACTTGTGCTCCCACTTTGAGTATACCACCACATTGCATTTCTGTTTCTATCATGTCTTCCAGGAGACTAGACTGTTTCCCAGGGTGGATTTGAGTATAAAGAAAAGGTAGACAAGGAATTGCCCAATTCTAAATTCTGACTTTACTGACTTAAATCTAAATGCTCGTTTCTCTGAACCAATTTTCTCCGATCTTCTCTAGGGGTTTCAAAAGGCTCAGTTAATTGAATTCCAGGAAGTACTCAGCAAGTTCATAGAAGTTCTTGAGACCTAAATTTCTTCACACACACAAAAAAAGATCTTAAGTCATACATTTTTATTGTGTAGAAGTTGTTCAACTAAAGGAATAAATGTCTATTAAAAGAAATGGACTTTCTGTTATTTTTTGTCATCTTCTAGTGCTAATGTACTTTAAAGCAAACCAAATACCCTAGCCAGCAAAAAGGCATCAAAATGTGATTATAGAAATAACATAATTTGAGGTAGCATAAAATGTACTTACTCTCTCAGTTCTTTGATCATTGCATGAATTAAGTTTTTATCTAAAACTGTTCAGCTGGGTGCGGTGGCTCAGGCCTGTAATCCCAGCACTTTGGGAGACAGGCTGGAGGATTTGTTGAGGCCAGCCTGGGCAGCATAGTGAGACTTCTATTTAAAAACAAAGAATAACTTACACATGGCTAATTTGGGAAAGAGAAAGGGTTCGGGCCAAAGGTCAGCATTGTCTACAAGAAAACCTTGTTCCTGTCCTTGCTACCCTACAGTTTAATCTCCACACAGTAGCCCAAGGGATTCTATTAAATTGATCACGGCACTCCTGTGCAAAAAAATCAAAAGTCCTCACAATAGCTTTTATGATCTTTCCACTTTCTATGTGTGACCTTATGTCCTATTGCTGTCCTCACCCCAGGCTCCTTGCTGTTCTTCAAATACACCAAACACTTCTAATACCTTTATGATGGGAAAACTTTATTCCAATATTAAGGATCACTTTATTAGCTATGCCCTGACCACCTCACAAGCTGTTCCCATTTGCTTTACTATTTCTGTAATGGCATGTAATTCACAGAGCAACATTGATTATTCAGTTGTTTTTTTTTTTTCAGATGGAGTCTCACTCTCACCCAGGTGTGAGTGCAGTGGGGCAATCACGGCTCACTGCAACCTCTGTCTCCTGGGTTTGAGCGATTCTCCTGCCTCAGCCTCCCAAATAGCCAGGACTACAGGCACACACCGCCACGCCCAGCTAACTTTTGTATTTTTAGTAGAGATGGGGGTTCACCATGTTGGTCAAACTGGTCTTGAACTCCTGACCTCAAGTGATCCACCTGCCTTGGCCTCCCAAAGTGCTGGAATTACAGGCATGAGCCACCACACCGGGCCCAAATTTTCTTTAGTAATAACAACAATTGGCTGGGTGTGATGGCTCACACCTGTAATCCCAACACTTTTGGAAACCAAGGTGGGCTTGAGCTCATGAGTTAGAGACCAGCCTGAGCAACGTGGTGAGAGCTCATCTCACAGAAAATAAATAAATTAGCCGGGCATGGTGTTGCACACCTGTAGCCTCCGAAATCACACCACTGCACTCCATCCTGGGTGACAGAGCCAGAACTTGTCTCAAAAAAATAACAATTGGTTTCTTATAATCCCAAAAGGTACAGTTACTAGTATTAATCCTTTTTTGCCAATGAGGAAACACAAAGATGAAGCAACTTGCTTAAAGTCATACAGTGACAGACTGAATTCAAATCCTATACACTTAAAGTTTATTTTCTTTTTCTTTTTTTTTTTTTTTTTTTTTTTTTTGAGATGGAGTCTCACTCTCGCAAGGCTGGAGTACAGTGGCACGATCTCAGCTCACTGCAACCTCCGCCTCCCGGGTTCAAGTGATTCTCCCGCCTCAGTCTCCTGAGTAGCTGGGACTATAGGCGCACACCACCACACCTAGCTAATTTTTGTATTTTTAGTAGAGATGGGGTTTCACCATGTTGGCCATGTTGGCCAGGATGGTCTCAAACTCCTGACCTCAGGTGATCCTCCCGCCTCGGCCTCCCAAAGTGCCAGGATTACAGTTGGCCACTGTGCCCAGCCAACTTAAAGTTTTTGTTAGATAACACATTAATGTTAAAAATTCAAAAGATAAGTATAGGCGCTACAGTACAAACTCTTCTGCCTCCTAGTTCCCGTCCTTGGAGGCAATGTGATCAGTTTAACAATATTTTTTTATTTTGAGACAGGGTCTCACTGTTGCCCAGGCTGGAGTGTAGTGGTGCGTTCGCAGCTTACTGTAGCCTCAACCTCCTAGGCTCAAGCGATCCTCCCACCTCAGCCTCTCGAGTAGCTGGGACCACAGGTGCACACCACGATGCCAGGCTAATTTTTGTATTTTTTGTAGAAACAGGGTTTCACCATGTTGCTCAGGCTGATCTCAAAGTCCTGGGCTCAAGCAATCTTCGCATCTCTGCTTCCCAAAGTGCTGGGATTACAGGTGTGAGCCACTGTGCCTGGCCTACATATGTATTTTTTCCTTTTTTCCCCCAAGTTGTAGGATATGATACACATTGTTGATTTTTTTTTGTTTGTTTAGTTATGTATCTCAGAGCTTATTCTTTATCAGCTCATGAGAAACTTTTTTTTTTTGAGACGTAGTTTTGTTTTTGTAGCCCAGGCGATCGTGGCTCACAGCAACCTCTGCTTCCCAGGTTCAAGCAATTCTCCTGCCTCAGCCTCCTGAGTATCTGGGATTACAGGTGCCTGCCACTACATCCAGCTATTTTTGCATTTTCAGTGGAGATAGGGTTTCACCATTTTGGCCAGGCTGGTCTCGAACTCCTGACCTCAGGTGATCTGCCCATCTCAGCCTCCCAAAGTACTGGGATTACAGGTGTGAGCAACCACGCCCGGCTGGAACTTCATTCTTTTGGTATAACTGCATGGTATCCCATCAGGTAGATGTACCATGATTCATTGGATATGGACCCTACTGATGGATATTTAAATTTCTTCCAATCTGGTGCTATTACAAAAAGAAAAATGTGTGCATACATCTTTATTCATCTGTAGAATAAATTCTAAGAAGTAGAATGGCAGAGTTAAAAATCGTATGTATGTAATTTTTTATAGATATTGACAAATTATCTTCCATAAAAGTTGAACCAATTTACACTACCACCAGCAAAGTAGGAGAGGACTTGCTTATCCACACCCTCTTTAATGCATGAAATCCAATTTTGGGATACTGCCAGTCTGTTAGGGGGAAATGATATTGTTCTCCACTTTTATTTTGCATTCTGAGTATGGCAGAGGCAAAGCTACGTGCATACCATAGCTTTTTCTCCCGCCTGAAAACACAACTAAACTACATTGTTTTCCTGGCCTCTCATTCATTTGCGTTGGGGTCATATTACTTCCCTCCAAGACAAACAACAGCCGGTGTGCCTCCTCCACACTTCCCACAACTGTGGAAGCCAGTGATCCAGATAGCATAGCTATTAATGCAAGATGGAAGAAAGCTGCTCAACCCCATCAGACAGCATGAGTGGTAAGATTTTATTGTGTCAAACGACTGCATTAGTTGTGTTTTGTTATTATGGCAGCATAGCCTAGCTTGGCCCTAACTAATTCAATAAATAAAGTTGAGCATCATTTGTACATTTAAGAGCACTGATGTTTGCTTTACAGTGACTTTCCACTTTTCTATCAGAGAATCCCCCCTCCCTTATGTACCATGCTATATTAATAAATTGGAAGGTAGTTGCTAGCTCATTTCTGCTATGCTTCATTATTTTTCTGCTCATTAGATTCTTATTTTTTGAGACGAGTCTCTGTCGCCCAGGCTGGAGTGCAGTAGCGCGATCTCAGCTCACTGCAACCTCCACCTCCCAGGTCCAAGTGATTTTCATGCCTCAGCCTCCCGAGTAGCTGGGATTACAGGTGCGCACCACTACTAATTTCTTTGTGTTTTAAGTAGAGGCAGGGTTTCACCATGTTTGCCAGGTTGGTCTATTACCCCTGACCTCAGGTGATCTGCGCCCATCTTGGCCTCCCAAAGTGCTGGAATTACAGGAATAAGCCACCAAACCTGGCCCTGCTCAT